AGAAAAAAAGATTACTATACCCAGCAGTGCCGACTTTGCGGGAACACAAAGATTCTCTCTTCAGATTTGGCTGATAAAAAGTTTTGTGTACACATTTTAAGACATATCTGAGAAAGTCCTGACGACCAAAAAATAAGAAATTGTCTAAACATAAACATACAATGGAGGGTCATGGGTGAAAATAATATCTGTCCAAGCGCAAGGCTTATATCTAACAGAAATAAAAGGGGATTTTAAGAGTAAGGTGAACAATACGGAAAGTCTATACAAATCAAGAAGACTCTAAAAACGGTATAATAAGGCACAAGAATAAGAAATTTAGCAGAAACCATCTGGAGCCTTTGAATAGGTTTAAGGAAAGGGGTAAGAAAAATTACAGCCATGCAAAAGGAGGAGGCTTAATTAGCCTTTAAACTAGATAGAGTTTTCATAATTCACTCGATGCATTTACAAGGAATTCACATAATACAAATCTAGACTGACTCAATGGATTGGTAGAAAATTCCAGTAATTTAACCTTAGACACTGCTATGTCGTTACTGTCGGTTCCACTTTACGCGTCATCCAAATTCATTTACACGACATCCTCAGACACTTTACATAGTTTGGGGCCTCAGCTTTGTCTTGATATGGCTCTTAATATTATAGAAACTTAAATTGATCTCTGGTTTAGCTCTGATATAGGATCTCTATTTTTCTCATTGTATCCATATTATAGGTAGAAACTATTTCTATGAACCAGCCTTTTATTTTCATCTATTTTTAGCTCAAATTAGCTATAGGACAACGAAGAGTTTGAGCGATGATACACGATACCTATTCATTGTTTAACCCAACGATATTTAGCTCGTGGTTGATTCTTTCGTAAGTATACAATTTCATGATGTAATTCAAGCTAAAATCGAGTTGGCATATTCGAATAAATTAATGAATTAATTTAACTATTTGTTTTTATTAAGTAAATAAATTCTTCTTATTTATCTAAACTGTAGGTGGCGCGGGTACTTTGCGACAATTATAGCCGTGATCAGACTCCGACGAACTAATACTTAATATGCCAAATATTAAAATTTTTGCCGGTAGCTCCAACTCCGACCTCGCTAAAAGAATTGCTGATCGCATAGGAATCCAATTAGGTAAAGTAACTCTTAAAAAATTCAGTAATCAAGAGACATGGTATGCTCTTTTGTCTGACTAATGCCCTACTTTAGCGTTGAGGTGGGAGAATCCGTGCGCGGTGAAGACGTCTATATTGTCCAAACAGGCAGTGGAGAAGTAAATGATCATTTGATGGAGCTTTTAATTATGATAAATGCTTGCAAAATTGCTTCATCGTGCCGAGTCACCGCAGTTCTACCCTGTTTCCCATATGCAAGACAAGACAAAAAGGTACTTAATTTATTTACTATAAACAAATGCGAATTTTGGTTAATTACTATCGAACTGTTTTCAGGATAAATCGCGTGCGCCGATTTCAGCCAAACTTGTTGCTAATATGCTGTCAGTAGCTGGCGCAGATCATATAATTACGATGGACCTTCATGCAAGTCAAATACAGGGATTTTTCGATATTCCTGTTGATAATTTGTACGCTGAACCGGCTGTTATTAAATGGATAACAACGAACATCCCCGGATGGAAGGAATGCTGTATAGTCAGCCCTGATGCTGGTGGGGCAAAACGGTAGACAATAATCCTTATCTGCTAACTCGACTTATTTTTATTATATTTCCTTATAATTGTAACCATTTTTTCAAGAAAATTTATATCATCGTTGGATAGGGACTTAAATCCAGTTAAACTATTTTCTTTAGTATTTTGTTCCATTGAGTTGAAATCTATGCGGATGAATCATTGGTATCCTGTTTGGTTACAGTAAAAAGTGAATTTTGTGATCATCCTTGTAAATATTGCGCAATAAATCAGGTGCTATTATAATTCGAAAATGTACGAAATATGTTACTCATAAATTTTATTTGGTGTAAATGTATCTGAATACTATATTATCGAGTTTATGCCTCTAGCAAGTCGGTTTTAAATGAAGTCAAAGAAGAACTGTCATCTGGTTGATTGCAAATTTGAACGTATATTGTGACTGATTAGTCTATATTGAGCTTTCGATTGTCCCTTCGTAAAATACATCGTCAGAGCTAAAAATAATTTTTTTGCGCACCATTCTTGTCCAAATATAAGTCATGAATGGTGGCCAGCCGCGATTTTCTCTGCTATTGACGTAACCTTGAAATTTTATCGAAGATTCTAATGATCTTGTTGACTATTTCACGCTTCTCACATGCCTGCAGATAAATGGAATTAACTTGAATATGGTGAATCATTCCCCTCTACATAGATGGTATGTAGTGAATTATCGCAATTATGCTTTGCGTTTCTCCATGATGTATTTTGTATGCAATGTTCGCATAATTTAAGGTATAAGAGTCCTAAAAAGCTTCCTAGCTAACCAAGCCTCTTCCATTTTGTGATCCGTCTTATCTCTTCTTTATTATAATGAGTTTCTCTTCGATTCCCTAAACTCACTAACTTGCTGATGATAAGTGCCCTTTAATTTGTTTCATATGTCTCCATAATCTTCTGAGAGTTGAATTCCATGCTATTATCAAGTCCTCTATTGGCAACGCATTCATTTAATTTTGATTTCTATATCCATAAATCTTATGTATGGCTTTTTAATTTTGATATCTTATTTATGAGTCTGTAGATCTGCTTTACGTGGGCACAGAACTTTGTAACACTGACGGATAGAGATTCCGAATATTCTCAAATGAAAGGCATTGTCACAATTGTTATTTTATATACACTTCCTGATTAGTTTGCATATCTTCTTCAAAAACGCATTATCCTACAACTAACTAGATATTCTTCTCAGTGGTTTGAGTTCAGTTCATGAGATTCCTGCTGAACAAAATTAGTAATCATATTTAATCATTCCTATTTTAACCTCAACATAGAATTCGACCAGGCCGTCAAGCACTGTATCTTATTTATTCCTGCAAACAGCCAATAATCGACATTTGTGCAGATTTGCCTTTGTAAATCTGCACATCTATACTAATTTGATGCATCATTCATGGCCTCCATCTCAATTGTCATTTTTCTACTTTTAGTCAGATTTTTTTTATGATGGATTCATTCTAGTCGGTGGAGTATACTAGGGCAAAATGTGCCTTATCATACATTCATCTCATTGCTTAATATTTATTTCGTGTATTCCCACTTCTGTTTTAATGGCTCTTGCTATTTTGTTATGATCCGTTTCCTTGTTGGTTAATAGAGTTAGATCCTATTTGTAATAGATTTACCGAATTTCAATCATGCGTTAACATATGTGCTTTTTAAAAGTTGGCTTAACAACTATGCTTTTTACATCACCTCTTTTTATACCTAAAATGTCCCAGTTTATTTACCACTTATCTATCATTATTATACAATATAAAGCATTAAATTTGTTGCTTTAGTGTGACCTCAATCGCAGATCAGCTCAATGTTGACTTTGCGCTTATTCACAAAGAGCGCAAGAAAGCTAATGAAGTGGATCGCATGGTGTTAGTCGGCGATGTGACGAATCGGGTAGCAATACTAGTCGATGACATGGCTGACACTTGCGGAACAATCTGTACAGCAGCTGAAAAGTAAATTTAAATTTTATGGATGTTCGTGTGATCTTAATACTCATATAACGTTTTGTCTTATAAAAATTCACCAGGCCATATACAAAATTCGCTTTCCCGCAGTGCTTTTTTAGTTCTCTTTAGACATCCTCAATCTATGCTGGCATAACTTAGTGATTTCACTTATTTTTTTATAAGGAAATTATCTATAGGAGTCGAAGGTATGAAGACCCAGATGATGTCGTCCCTATTTTGGTCGTGGTATCTTTTCGTTGTATAGACGTGGGTGGACCTCGTTTTCGCAACTTGATCGTGTTGTCTAGATGAACGCATCTTGTCTGAAGTCCTTTGCTATAATATTCATAGTAATTTCCGACTTCAGAATGTACCAAACCCACGGTCCGACGCTGGATCATCATGCATATTATGACAGAGAACTACGGACAAGGTGCATTTTTCTAAGTCTTTCTGATAATACTACCAAGTTGCGAAAACGGGGTAAGATACTTTCTACTGGCATACCTTTAATTTTGTTTGATAAGGCGGGTCGAAGGGATTCGTATATTGGTCTGTTTGTCTGTTGAACTGCGGAAAAAACCTCAGCTCACCGTTCTACGCCCCGATTACTCCTTGCTGAACCTTCGTTCCTTATGTGACAGACATCATCAGAGCCAGAAACCATTATTCACAAAAAATACACTAAACCGATCTCGGACGAAGGCTTAACAAGGAGTC